ACCCACCCACCCACCCCACCCCACCCTTCCCCCCCTTCCCTCCCTCCCTCCTCCCCCTTCCCACCCTGCCTCCTTCCCCCACCCTTCCTCCTCCTCCTCCTCCCCTTCCCTTCCCCACCCCCCACCCCACCGAGGGGACCAATCAGCTGACCGGGGCAATACCCCTTGGTTGGGTCGTTCCATCAGCCAGCAATATCGGGTATCGACTCGGGTGGGTCTCGGTGCAGCAGAGAGGGAGTGGGGGGGAGTGTGAGGGAGAGGGTGAGAGAGAGGGGGAGGGAGTGGGTGGGAGAGGGAGAGAGGGTGGGGGAGGGTTGGAAGAATGGGTGAGGGGAGAGGGGTGGTGGGGATGGAGGGGAGGGGGAGAGTGAGGGAGGGGGAGGGGTGGTGGGAAGGGAGGGAGAGAGGGGTGGTGGGGATGGAGGGGAGGGAGAGTGGGGGAGGGAGAGGGGTGGTGGGGATGGAGGGGAAAGGAGAGGGATGGAAAGGTGACGAGGAGAGAGGGAGAGAGTGGGGAGGGAGAGGGGTGGTGGGGAAGGGAGGGAGAGGGGTGGTGGGGATGGAGGAGAGGGGGAGGGGTGGTTAGGAGGGAGGGAGAGAGGGGTGGTGGGGATGGAGGGGAGGGAGAGGGAGAGTGGGGGAAGGAAGGGGAGGAGTGGGGAAGGGGGAGGGAGGGGAGGGGGGAAGGGAATGGTGGGTGGGATGGGGGAGGAGGGGGAGGAGAGGGGGAATGGGAGTAGATGGGAGAGGGAAAGGAGAGGGAGGAGAGGGGGATGGGAAGTAAGAGGAGGGAGGAGAGGGAAAGGAGAGGGAGGGAGGGGAAGAGAGGGGGGATGGAGTAGGAGGCAGAGGGAGGAGGAAGGATGGGGTAGGGGAATGAGGGGGGAATGGGATTAGAGAGGGAGGGAGGGAAAGAGGATAAGGGAGAGGGAGAGGGATGGATTGGTAGGGAGATGAGAGAAAGGGGGAGAAGGAGAGAGAGAGGAAGAGAAGTGGATGGGGAAAGGAGAGAGGGAAGAGAGGGCATGAATGGATGTTAAAGAGGGAGAGGGAAAAGGAGGGAGGAGGAGGGAGAAGAGAAAAAGGAGACTGGAAGGGAAGTGGAAGAGATGGAGGAAGAAAAATGATAAGAAAAACATAGGGGTGATAAAGAAACGACAAAATGGAAGAAACAAAAAGAAAATAAATAAAAGATAAAAATAAAAAGCAGGAATAAAGACAGAAGTAAAAAAAGAACAGAATAAAAGTTTTAAAAAATCGTAGCAAAGGAAAGCGATAAAAGAAAAAATACGAAAGACAGAAAAAAACAACAGTAAAAAAAAAAAAAAAAAAACAGCAGAGAGAGAGCAGCATGAAGATAAAGACACAGAGAAGAGGAAGACAAAAAAAATAAATAAAAAAATATGAACAGACAGGAATAAAGGTTGGAATTTAAAGAAGGAAGGAATAAAAGTAGAGGTAAAAGGAAACTGAAACTTGAAAGCAAAGGAGGAAAATTAATGAAAAGGAGATAGAGAACTGGATAAAGATAAGAATAACACAGAGAAATAAGAAAAATGTACATAGATTTTTTTTTTCTATTTTTTAGAAGTCGCAATTTCATAAAAGCATATTAGTTTCAAATCTAATTTTAGACAACAATTATCTTATTTCTTTGTGATTATCTTTGTTTTCGCATTCTAGATCTCCTAATTCCAAAAATAGAATAAATATGAACATCTTTAAAAACAAAAAGTTTGAAAATTGGTTTAAAATCTTTGGTAATTTTGGACAATTATTTCATCTTAATTAGATTAATTTCCTAACTCTCTCCATCATCTAAAGATAACAAAAAATGAAAGTTTTATAAGACGAAAAATTAAGAAAAATTATTAATATGAGACTGAAAGATATAGACAATACGCTGAATATAAAATGTAGGTCTATGTATACGAAATTACATGTAGATGTTATTTATCTATCTATTATCTATTTATCTGTCTATTCATCTACTAATTTATCTATCTATTCATCTACTAATTTATCTATTTGTTGCTTATCTTTATATTTACCTTATCAGATATGCATTTATATCGCCTGTTGTGCGTGTGTCAAGTGGGAGGAAGCTGTATTTGAGAGAGAGAGAGAGAGAGAGAGAGAGAGAGAGAGAGAGAGAGAGAGAGAGAGAGAGAGAGAGAGAGAGAGAGAGAGAGAGAGAGAGAGAGAGAGAGAGAGAGAGAGAGAGTGAGTGAGTGAGTGAGTGAGTGAGTGAGTGAGTGAGTGAGTCTGTGTCTATGTCTATGTCTATGTCTGCATATCATCTATATGTATTCATTCCCATTAAATAAATAAATAAGTAAATAAATAAATAAATAGATAAATAAATAAATAAAGTTAAATAGATTCTACAACATCCCAAACCGAAGCACCTTTATCCCAGGTGACTCACCTTACAGAAACAGGCTTAAGAACAGAAAATAAGATTTAAAAAAAAGGCTAAAAGGGATAAAAAAAATAAAAAAAAAGTTACTCCTTTTCTTAATAGAGGCCTTACCGTAAAGCCTATAGAGATGAGAAAGAAAAAGATTACTGACGGAAAAAAGTGAAGAGGAATTAGTTATCTTAATACGAAACCAGAACAAAATTAACAAGATATCCCAAAAAAGATAGCAGTCCTTGAAATGAAATTAGATAATCAACATTTTTTGATGGTACTTGTTAGCTGTTACATCTAAATACACATGTCTTGTTTCTATATAGTAAATTAGTGATGAACAATGACCGACATAGGGATGAGAGAGAGAGAGAGAGAGAGAGAGAGAGAGAGAGAGAGAGAGAGAGATGAGAGAGAGTGAGAGTGAGAGTGAGAGTGAGAGAGAGAGGAGAGAGAGAGAGAGAGAGAGAGAGAGAGAGAGAGAGAGAGAGAGAGAGAGAGAGAGAGAGAGAGAGAGAGATAGGAAAGAGGAGAGAGAGAGAGAACAGGAAAGAGGAGAGAGAGAGAGAGAGCAGGAAAGAGGAGAGAGAGAGAGAGAGAGAGAGAGAGCAAGAAAGAGGAGAGAGAGAAAAAACAAAAAACAAAGAAAGAATGAAAGAGAATAGAATCAAAGAGCGAACGAACCAAAGACAGAAAAAGACGCCAAAAAAATAATAGATAAACAGATAAAAACGATTAATGCCCCCACACAGTACGCAGCGAAGACACCGAGTTCCCCCAAAGCCAGTCAGCAGGTCTTCAGACGGACAGATTTCTTAATGAATATTGCATGACGGAAGGAAGGTGTAATCTGAATATCCAACGACCTGAGAGGAGGTGGCTACGACCATGCACAGGGACATCTTCGTTCATGACTGCTAATGTGTTCATCAGCATCTCATCATACTATGTTATCTGGTGTGGTGTTTAGGATAGGTTTGTATATTATTTTTTTTATTATTTATTTATTTATTATTAATGTAGAGTGTCATCTGGTGTGGTGTTTAGGATAGGTTTGTATATTATTTTTTTTTATCATTTATATATTTATTATTTTGTTGTTTTCTGAAGCAAGGGAACACGCAGGAAATAATAGATACACACAGACACACGCACACATTTGTTGTTGTTGTTTAAATATCTTTCCACTGTGTTTAATCGTCTCTTCCACTTCTGCACACTTTGACTTCCTCATCCTCCTCATTCTCCTGACCTTGTACCATCTGACCTTCACCTCCTTCCGTCCATGAGGTCATTTCTGAAGAGCAAACATTTCCAAGAGGATGAGGCACCGATGTCAAAAGTCACTTTATGGCTTCAGACGCGACCTGAGGACTGTGGACTTCACCGCCGTAACTGAAAATAGGTTTTGGGTTAAGTTTAGTTAGGATTTTAGGATAGTTTTTAGGATAGTTTTAGGATTTTTTTTAGGATAGTTTTTTTTAGGATAGTTTTAGGATTTTTTTTAGATAGATGTTTTTTTTTAGGATAGGTTTTTTAGGATAGTTTTTAGTTATTTTAGGATTTGAGTTTAGTTAATTTGAGTTAAATCAATACACGGCCTTTAGATGTGTGTATGTTTGTGCATGTGGGAATTTTAGGCGCCTATGGCAAGCGAAGTGGATCAGGGAAATCTTTAATGGGAGAATGCGAGAGTACAAACGGATAGATATGTAAAAAGACAGACACTTTTAGATAGATAGATTGACAGACAGATAGATCGATCGATTTCAAAACTATAAATAATTATATTGGAATAAAAGTGTCTACAAAAATATACAGTAACTAATATTCTGCCATCATACTGACGCGACCGGGATTTGAACCTGGGACCCTCTGCCTTCGAGGTAAGTGCTCTAACCACTGAGCTACCGTGACACAACTAAAATCTGATTTATAAATTTTATTAAATCATTGGGCACGTGCAATAGTCGCATGTATATTTGTGTGTGTGTGTGTGTGTGTGTGTGTGTGTATGTGTGTGTGTGTGTATGTGTGTATGTGTGTGTGTGTGTGTGTGTGTGTGTGAGTGTGTGTGTGTGTGTGTGTGTGTGTGTGTGTGTGTGTGTGGTGTGTGTGTGTGTGTGTGTGTGTGTGTGTGTTCGCATGCTTATGTATATATTTATGTGTGTCCACCACTTTCCTCGACCACTTCCACCCTCCTTCGCCACTTTGCCTGAGGCTGCTATCCTCTCCCACCACCATCACAACCATTCCTATCCACAACGACCTTCCACCACTTTTCCTATCCACTACGCGCCCTCCTCCTCCACTTCCCCCTCGCTACTTCCCCTTTCCTCCATTATTTCCCTCACCTCCAACCATCATCCGTGGCCACGGCCCATTCTCCCTCACAACCTCCCTCAAAACCTCCCGAACAACCGACCTATTCTCCTCCTCCCCTCCCCCTCCCTCCCTTCCACCCGCCTGCCCTCTCCAACAACCAACCTATTCCTCCCTCACCTCTCCTTTCCCTTCTCCGCACGCCCTCTTGCCCGCCCACACGCACCCACGGCCGCCCATCTCATCCTCTCGGGTGTATTACACGATGGGCGAGGGAGATCCTGAGGCTCCGCGTCGTGATTGCTTTCCCGAGTGTAAACAAACCTGACAGCGGTGTTGCCAGACGCCACCTTTGATAATGTCGCAAAATAACCAGTCCTTGCATGGGGACTGTGTGTGTATGTATATGTGTGTGTGTGTGTGTGTGTGTGTGTGTGTGTGTGTGTGTTTTGTGTGTGTTGGGGTGGGTGGGTGGGTGGGTTTGGGTGTACGTGTGTTTGTGTGTGTGTGGGTGGGTGGGTGGGTGTGGAGTAGGTGTGTATGTGTGTTTTGTGTGTGTGGGGGTGTTTGTATGTGTGTGTGTGTGTGTGTATGTGTGTGTGTGTGTTTCTGTGTGTGTTTGTGAATGTGACTGTGGGTATGTGTACATGTGTGTGTGTGTGCGTAGACAAATAGATATACATAAACATACATAACATTACATAAATACATATACATACAGACACTAATACAAATACACACCAAAACACACAAACCTAGCATAATCATACCCTAATTCCCAGCTCTCGGGACGTGGCCACCCCTCCCCTGGACCATCCCACCAATGATAGGAATCAAAGTGGTCCAAGTGGTCCTAGTGGTCCAAGTGGTTCTAGTGGTCCAAATGGTCCGTGGCTCTAGTGGTCCAAGTGGCCCTAGTGGTCCAAGTGGTTCTAGTGGTCCAAGTGGTTCTAGTGGTCCAAGTGGCTCTAGTGGTCCAAGTGACTCTAGTGGTCCAAGTGGCCCTAGTGGTCCAAGTGGTTCTAGTGGTCCAAGTGGCCCTAGTGGTTCTAGTGGTCCAAGTGGTTCTAGTGGTCCAAGTGGCTCTAGTGGTCCAAGTGGCTTCTAG